TGGAGATGCTGTTTGTGATGGATGGTGCTGTTTGTGATAGATGGTGCTGTTTGTGATGGATGGTGCTGTTTGTGATGGATGGTGCTGTTTGTGATGGATGGTGCTGTTTGTGATGGAGATGCTGTTTGTGATGGAGATGCTGTTTGTGATAGATGATGCTGTTTGTGATGGATGGTGCTGTTTGTGATGGATGGTGCTGTTTGTGATGGATGGTGCTGTTTGTGATGGAGATGCTGTTTGTGATGGAGATGGATGATGCTGTTTGTGATGGAGATGCTGTTTGTGATGGAGATGCTGTTTGTGATGGTGCTGTTTGTGATGGATGATGCTGTTTGTGATGGATGATGCTGTTTGTGATGGTGCTGTTTGTGATGGATGATGCTGTTTGTGATGGATGATGCTGTTTGTGATGGATGGATGCTGTTTGTGATGGAGATGCTGTTTGTGATGGAGAAGGATGGTGCTGTTTGTGATGGATGATGCTGTTTGTGATGGATGATGCTGTTTGTGATGGATGATGCTGTTTGTGATGGAGGTGCTGTTTGTGATGGAGGTGCTGTTTGTGATGGATGATGCTGTTTGTGATGGAGGTGCTGTTTGTGATGGATGATGCTGTTTGTGATGGTGCTGTTTGTGATGGAGATGCTGTTTGTGATGGATGATGCTGTTTGTGATGGATGATGCTGTTTGTGATGGAGATGTTTGTGATGGAGATGCTGTTTGTGATGGAGATGCTGTTTGTGATGGAGGTGCTGTTTGTGATGGATGATGCTGTTTGTGATGGTGCTGTTTGTGATGGAGATGCTGTTTGTGATGGATGATGCTGTTTGTGATGGATGATGCTGTTTGTGATGGAGATGTTTGTGATGGAGATGCTGTTTGTGATGGAGATGCTGTTTGTGATGGATGGTGCTGTTTGTGATGGATGGATGCTGTTTGTGATGGATGGTGCTGTTTGTGATGGATGATGCTGTTTGTGATGGAGATGCTGTTTGTGATGGAGATGCTGTTTGTGATGGATGATGCTGTTTGTGATTGAGATGTTTGTGATGGAGATGCTGTTTGTGATGGATGATGCTGTTTGTGATGGATGATGCTGTTTGTGATGGATGGATGCTGTTTGTGATGGATGATGCTGTTTGTGATGGATGATACTGTTTGTGATGGATGATGCTGTTTGTGATGGATGATGCTGTTTGTGATGGATGATGCTGTTTGTGATGGATGATGCTGTTTGTGATGGATGATGCTGTTTGTGATGGATGATGCTGTTTTTGATGGAGATGTTTGTGATGGATGATGCTGTTTTTGATGGTGCTGTTTGTGATGGAGATGCTGTTTGTGAAGGATGATGCTGTTTGTGATGGATGATGCTGTTTGTGATGGAGGTGCTGTTTGTGATGGAGATGCTGTTTGTGATGGATGATGCTGTTTGTGATGGATGATGCTGTTTGTGATGGATGATGCTGTTTGTGATGGATGATGCTGTTTTTGATGGAGATGTTTGTGATGGATGATGCTGTTTTTGATGGTGCTGTTTGTGATGGAGATGCTGTTTGTGAAGGATGATGCTGTTTGTGATGGATGATGCTGTTTGTGATGGAGGTGCTGTTTGTGATGGAGATGCTGTTTGTGATGGATAATGCTGTTTGTGATGGAGATGCTGTTTGTGATGGAGATGTTTGTGATGGATGATGCTGTTTGTGATGGATGATGCTGTTTGTGATGGATGATGCTGTTTGTGATGGATGGATGCTGTTTGTGATGGAGATGCTGTTTGTGATGGAGAAGGATGGTGCTGTTTGTGATGGAGATGCTGTTTGTGATAGATGATGCTGTTTGTGATGGATGGTGCTGTTTGTGATGGATGGTGCTGTTTGTGATGGATGGTGCTGTTTGTGATGGAGATGGATGATGCTGTTTGTGATGGAGATGCTGTTTGTGATGGAGATGCTGTTTGTGATGGAGATGCTGTTTGTGATGGATGGTGCTGTTTGTGATGGATGGTGCTGTTTGTGATGGATGGTGCTGTTTGTGATGGATGGTGCTGTTTGTGATGGAGGTGCTGTTTGTGATGGAGATGCTGTTTGTGATGGAGGTGCTGTTTGTGATGGAGGTGCTGTTTGTGATGGATGATGCTGTTTGTGATGGATGATGCTGTTTGTGATGGATAATGCTGTTTGTGATAGATGATGCTGTTTGTGATGGATGGTGCTGTTTGTGATGGATGGTGCTGTTTGTGATGGAGATGCTGTTTGTGATAGATGATGCTGTTTGTGATGGATGATGCTGTTTGTGATGGATGGATGCTGTTTGTGATGGATGGTGCTGTTTGTGATGGAGATGCTGTTTGTGATGGATGATGCTGTTTGTGATGGATGGTGCTGTTTGTGATGGAGATGCTGTTTGTGATGGAGATGCTGTTTGTGATGGAGATGGATGATGCTGTTTGTGATGGAGATGGATGATGCTGTTTGTGATGGATGATGCTGTTTGTGATGGAGATGCTGTTTGTGAAGGATGATGCTGTTTGTGATGGATGATGCTGTTTGTGATGGAGATGCTGTTTGTGATGGAGATGCTGTTTGTGATGGATGGTGCTGTTTGTGATGGATGGTGCTGTTTGTGATGGATGGTGCTGTTTGTGATGGAGGTGCTGTTTGTGATGGATGGTGCTGTTTGTGATGGAGATGCTGTTTGTGATGGATGGTGCTGTTTGTGATGGAGGTGCTGTTTGTGATGGATGGTGCTGTTTGTGATGGAGATGCTGTTTGTGATGGAGATGTTTGTGATGGAGATGCTGTTTGTGATGGATGATGCTGTTTGTGATGGAGATGTTTGTGATGGAGATGCTGTTTGTGATGGATGATGCTGTTTGTGATGGAGATGTTTGTGATGGATGGTGCTGTTTGTGATGGAGATGTTGTTTGTGATGGATGGTGCTGTTTGTGATGGAGATGTTTGTGATGGATGATGCTGTTTGTGATGGAGATGTTGTTTGTGATGGATGGTGCTGTTTGTGATGGAGATGCTGTTTGTGATTGAGATGTTGTTTGTGATGGATGATGCTGTTTGTGATGGATATGCTGTTTGTGATGGAGATGCTGTTTGTGATAGATGATGCTGTTTGTGATGGATGATGCTGTTTGTGATGGAGATGTTGTTTGTGATGGATGGTGCTGTTTGTGATGGAGATGTTTGTGATGGATGATGCTGTTTGTGATGGAGATGTTGTTTGTGATGGATGGTGCTGTTTGTGATGGAGATGCTGTTTGTGATTGAGATGTTGTTTGTGATGGATGATGCTGTTTGTGATGGAGATGCTGTTTGTGATGGATGATGCTGTTTGTGATGGATGATGCTGTTTGTGATGGATGATGCTGTTTGTGATGGATGATGCTGTTTGTGATGGATATGCTGTTTGTGATGGAGATGCTGTTTGTGATAGATGATGCTGTTTGTGATAGATGATGCTGTTTGTGATGGATATGCTGTTTGTGATGGAGATGCTGTTTGTGATGGATGATGCTGTTTGTGATGGATGATGCTGTTTGTGATAGATGGTGCTGTTTGTGATGGAGATGCTGTTTGTGATGGAGATGCTGTTTGTGATGGATGATGCTGTTTGTGATGGATGATGCTGTTGGAGATGGAGATGGATGATGCTGTTTGTGATGGATGGTGCTGTTTGTGATGGATGATGCTGTTTGTGATGGATGATGCTGTTTGTGATGGATGATGCTGTTTGTGATGGATGATGCTGTTTGTGATGGATGATGCTGTTTGTGATAGATGATGCTGTTTGTGATGGATGGTGCTGTTTGTGATGGATGATGCTGTTTGTGATGGATGGTGCTGTTTGTGATGGATGATGCTGTTTGTGATGGAGATGCTGTTTGTGATGGATGATGCTGTTTGTGATAGATGATGCTGTTTGTGATGGAGATGCTGTTTGTGATGGAGATGCTGTTTGTGATGGAGATGCTGTTTGTGATGGATGATGCTGTTTGTGATGGATGATGCTGTTTGTGATGGATGATGCTGTTTGTGATGGATGATGCTGTTTGTGATGGATGATGCTGTTTGTGATGGATGATGCTGTTTGTGATGGATGATGCTGTTTTGTGATGGATGATGCTGTTTGTGATGGATGATGCTGTTTGTGATGGATGATTTTGTGATGGATGATGCTGTTTGTGATGGATGGATGGATGATGTTGTTTGTGATGGATGATGCTGTTTTATGATGGATGATGCTGTTGTGATGGATGATGCTGTTTGTGATGGAGATGCTGTTTTGTGATAGATGATGCTGTTTGTGATGGATGGTGCTGTTTGTGATGGATGATGCTGTTTGTGATGGATGATGCTGTTTGTGATGGATGATGCTGTTTGTGATGGAGATGCTGTTTGTGATGGATGATGCTGTTTGTGATATGATGATGCTGTTTGTGATGGAGATGCTGTTTGTGATGGATGGATGATGCTGTTTGTGATGGCTGTTTGTGAGGTGCTGTTTGTGATGATGATGATGCTGTTTGTGATGATGGATGATGCTGTTTGTGATGGATGATGCTGTTTGTGATGGAGAAGGATGATGCTGTTTGTGATGGATGATGCTGTTTGTGATGGATGATGCTGTTTGTGATGGATGATGCTGTTTGTGATGGATGATGCTGTTTGTGATGGAGATGCTGTTTGTGATGGAGATGCTGTTTGTGATGGATGGTGGATGGTGCTGTTTGTGATGGAGATGCTGTTTGTGATGGAGATGCTGTTTGTGATGGAGAAGGATGATGCTGTTTGTGATGGATGATGCTGTTTGTGATGGATGATGCTGTTTGTGATGGATGATGCTGTTTGTGATGGATGATGCTGTTTGTGATGGAGATGCTGTTTGTGATGGAGATGCTGTTTGTGATGGATGATGCTGTTTGTGAAGGATGATGCTGTTTGTGATGGAGATGCTGTTTGTGACACATGAAGTTGTTTTGTTTCAGATTTCCATACATTCCAGTACTACATACAGGTGGTCCCGACAGAAGTGAGGACGTACCTGGTCAATGAGAACACGTATCAGTTTGCTGTGTCTCAGAGGGTAGGTACTCTCTAACCTGGACAGTTGCAGACAGTATGGCTATTTTGGCATTATCTAAGGATTATTTTGAGAGGCCATGGTGCCCAGACTTCATGCCAATGTCTTTCCACTTTAAGAAGACACTAAAAGCCCCTTCATTCACTCATCTCATCATTAAGTGAGTTAGTGAGTATGGTTTTACGCCAGCAATATCAAGGCGGGGGACACCAGAAATGGTCTTCACACATGGTACCCATGTGGGGAATCGAACCCAGGTCTTTGGTGTGATGATCGAACAGCTTTAACCACTAGCCTACCCTTCCGCCCCTCTCTGCATTAAGGGTTGATCGAGTAGCCTAGTGGTTAAAGCATTCACTCAGTTTCGAATCCCCACATGGGTAAAATGTGTGAGCCCATTTCTGGTGTCCCCCGCCATGATATTGGTGGAATATTGCTAAAAAGCGACGTAAAACCATTCTCTCTCACTCATCAAAGCATCAAACAGCTGTACACGAGGCTATGTCATACTACAGATGACAAAAGATCAAGGTTATAAATACCAAATTTATAAACCTACCCTATCTCACACTATGCAGTTTTTGCTCCATCTTAGATCATGGTGTAGAACGAAGTTTCCAGCTTGAAAACAAAACAACTCACCCAAACACATCCCACATCACCATGGTTACCACTTAAACAATGGGGCCATACACCACTGCAATCTGTTTACTTACACCTGGATCTGATGGTTTTGCTTTAAGTGATTTATATAACCAAGGTCCTGGGATTCTGGTAATAGTGTCTTTAGATTTTAGACCTCTTTTGGGTCTGATGGAACATATTAAGCAAGCAATCGCTACCTATATGTAAATTATGGGATTTATTTGACGTATCGTGCTAGGTTATGACCTGTGACAAAAATGCTTCATGCATATATTTTCGCATTAAACATCGTGTCCGAGCGTGAAGATTGAGGCGGCGATACCGATTTGTACAGGGAAAGGGTTGACTTATACTTGAGTTACATGGTTTTGGCAAGAATTTAGAGGGTTGAGAAAGGGGCCCGACTTATAGTCGGATCCGACTTATAGTCGGTCATATACGGTACTTTCAATTAATTCTTTTAAACAATGTTTTGTGATCTGGTGACTTGTTAATCCCGATATTTCCTACTGGGAACTGTAGGGATTAAATGCACTATTTCAGCCCAGCTCAGTATGCATCGACAACATGGGTGGCCCAGTCGCATTCCTTAGACATTCACTGATCCATTCGTGACCAACTCGTGTTATTCCAGGACAAGCCGAATAGCTACTCGTGCCCCTCTGGAAGGATTTCATATTGGCATAGGAACATCAGAACTACTTCAAACAGGAACGATAACTCTATTCCTGTTTGATTCCAATGTTTCTAAAAATCACCGAAGCACATGTACATTGTATTGCTAGGTTGTTGTTTTTGGTGTTTTTTTTACTTATTTATTTTAAAGAATTAAACCTCTTTGATACAACTAAAAGAAGGAGAAAAACCTATTTGTTAAAAACATATTCTAATGTAATTATTACCAGCTGTTCACCTTATATTTCAAATTATGTTAATTTTCTTAATAGAGTTTAATCATCACAAATGGGAATTGTTTTATTGAATATACCAAAAAAATTCAGCTACATTAAATCCCAAAGCAGATACTCAAAAATGACTTTAAAATATTTCTCAAACTGAACATTCGTGTAACCTTGCTGTCACACCCCTGGTGGAATTTCAAATGAATTTGCTGAAAAAAATATGAATGACCCAAAAACAGTCAGACTGAAATATCCCCAGAGCTATGAAATATATAAGCCCAATGTTAAAGATTAGGGTTGATTAGTTACATACAAATACGATATTATTGTTTTGAAACTCGCAGCGATTATAATTTACATTTCCTAAAATTGGTCGAAGCGCACGTACAATCTCCATAACAAGCCCGCAAGATCGTCAGAAATACACTCAGTTGGACCCATGAGAGCAGTTATGTCAACAAACGCACGTTCGTGTTTTTGAATCTCTCACCGTCAATCGCATGATTCTTATCAAAAACTTCATACTAGGCAGCAAAATCCTTTTAGCGACGTTCTTTGTACTTTCCATATGACGATATATAGTTTTCATGATTCTTTAAACAATGACATAATGCCATAAACTATTTAAGTACTCGGGATTATTTTTATCAAAGCACCGCACTCATTTACTCGTGTTCTGATTGGTTTGTTGTATTTTCGCACATAACAAGTATCGAGTGGGGGATGAGTTTTCTTGGAGGTTACGGAAAGGGGTGAGTGGTGACGAATGTCACTGATCCTGCGTTCGAATCCAAGATTTGCCCCAATTAATCACTCCTTTGTCAGCACCCCACACATGCCTAAAATAAACTGACATGTCATGGGATGACTGATATACTGTCAACCAAACTCACTTGACCCATCTGTTGCGGTGGGGTAGCCTAGTGGTTAAAGAATCGTCAAAATCGGGTTCGATTCCCCAAAGGCAGCCATGGTGTTCCCGCCACGCGATAATGCTGATAATGCTGGAATATTGCTGGGATAACTCACTCACTCACTCACTCACTTGACCCATCTGTTTCATGACTTAAAGTCATCAAGTATGCTGATGATCCGAGTACGAGAGGAGCACAAGCCATACTGGCAGTTCATGGTCAGATTGTGTGGAATAATAGGCGGAGTGTTCTCTGTCTCAGGCAAGTCTTTGCTCTCTCATTCTCTCTGTTCTGTGACCCATAAAGATCCGGGTTACACTTGATCTTCAGTAACCCATGCTTGTCGTTAGAGGCGACCAACGGGATCGGGTGGTCAGGCTCGCTTGACTTGGTTGACATGTCATCGTATCCCAATTGCATAGATCGATGCCCATGTGGTTGATCACTGGATTGTCTGGTCCAGACTTTATTATTTACAGACCTAAGAAACTAAATATTGGATGTTTGCAGTTCCATTAAAGATTTCATGAAATTCACATCCTCATGGATTTACGTCTTCCATGTTTGCAGGAATGATGCATGGTTTGTCTGGATTTCTGGTGGATGTGTTCTGCTGTAGATTCAAGATGGGCAAATATAAACCGAAATCCTATGAGGAAGCAAGTCAAAGTGCCATGCCTCCCTCTCCATCCCTCTCCAACCCTCCACAAGATGATCCTGCTGGAGTGTCACTGCTTGCTCAGCCACAGTAGCACCATTTTATTCATTTTATATCCAATTTATTGTTATATTTTTTAAACTCTACTGTAGTTGTTGAATATTGGATGACAATAAAAGTGGTAATTTTAATTGGGATTTTTCTGGTTGTATATTCCAGGACGGGAGAGTTTAAGGCCTGTTCTGAATGGATCAATATGGCTGGAATATTGCCAAAAGTGGCATCAAACCCTACTCCGTCGGTCATTTACAAAACAGTTCTGTGGAGCAATGGTTTGAGTGTATGCCCTTACAGGTGAAGGTTGGTGGGGTAGCATAGTGGTTAAAGCGTTGGCTCGTGATGCCGAATACCCGGGTTCGAATCCCCACATGGGTACAATTTGTGAAGCCCATTTCTGGTGTCCCCCGCCGTGATGTTGCTGGAATATTGCTTAAAGCGGCGTAAAACCAAATTCAGTCAGCCTTAAAGGTGAAGGTCGGTGTTTCAGTGGGTTCAATCAGCTTACCACACTATACTAAAACGTTAAAAGATTGAACGAGTTATTGCCATATACATTGTATATAAACAAGTCACTTCTTCAGGTTCCGAAGCACTAAATGTGTATAGAGAGAGCTAGAGTCCAGATATTTGTGCTGGTCAAACTTCCTTCATGTGCTCCTGTATGTCCTTATGTGGACTAGTTCAAACAGCCACACGTACATGCACTGTATAAAGAAATACTTGCTCATGCTTTCATCCACAGTCTCACCTTGCTCAGCCCACTTATCTACGTGACAAAGCTGGAATATGTCGGCACAGGGGTGGAAATTACCCATTGCCCGACGCCCGAGTCCAGTGTTTTTTTCTGTTGGGCAAGCAAATTTGTATATCAAGTTGACTTTCCAATATTAATTATGTTGTTTATTTAAAAAATCAACAAGAAAATGGACGGTATAGTGGAAAAATTATCAGGGCAAGTGATTTTACATGTGCAACTGTACAGGAGTACACTTGCAATTTTAAAGTTATTTCCACCCCTGAGGGACACTGTCAGTTACTAGTTTGACATTTATCCTATAATTAATAGGCTTCTTGAAAGATAAAGCCAACGTGTAAGAACAGTATCCCTTGGGATGATATAATATATCAGGTATACTCTACCGTATGTAATCAGCTGTTGAATATAAACCGAGCTCAATCTTAAAAAACTACGCTGTCGCCATATTGGCTACACTGGTCACGTGACGAGCCGAGGCATATGCTAAGGGGCTTTCCGAGGAGTGACCACTCCCCCTTATATAGTCTCCCTGAATATATGAACATAAAGGTCAGGTAGGTGATACTTTCAGAATTCAGCCTTTGTCTGGGATTGAGTTGGAACAGACAATCAGGGATCTGGACAAATTACAGGGATAACTGTTATCATTATTAAAATAACATGTTATTGTTACATATTACATGTGTAACATTCTGAAACCTTCATCACTTCAATCTGTCCTCACCTGAAGCTGATTACATGTGATATAACTGGACTACTGTTCAAAGTGGCATTAAACCTAACTCACTGCAAGCTTTCTCACATCACTGTTTCCTTCCATGTGCTGTAAACCTTACAACTACTCTACTATGTCCATACAAATATACAGTTTTGTCAATATTAAAGATCATTTGCATTTCTCTCAGTAATTCAATGCTATGATTTTACAGTAAATAATGGCATCATAAAACAATAACAGACTAGCACAATGTTTTGCAAAAATACAAAATAGGAACATTCAGATATGTTTCATTTATTTATTTATTTTCAAGAGCAACTAAGAAAAACACTTTGTAAAACATAAACCATAATAAGGTGTGTCCAAATGTTTGATTGCTATAATCTTTTCAATATGGACAGTGAGGTATAGTGGTGGTCCGATTAATTGAAATAATCGAAGATTGGTCGTAGTGACTAAACGACCAAGCAATCGATCATAATTTCTCATAATCGAACACAAACATTCTCGAACACTTGTTTTCATTAACAATATTTTTCACATGGTTGGTTTTGTCTGTTACATTTCGTAAGCACTGCAATCTCGTTTCAAGTCATGATTGAATTTATCTTAAAGATTCCAAGAAATTTATGTTCCCAACATACCAGTCATCCTTTAAAGATGTGAAATTTTGCCCCAAAGAACCTAAAAGAACTACGTTTTTTCCTTATGTTTATGTGCATTAACAAATTTCAAAAATGATGCTAACCAATTATTTTTGATGATTGATCGGTAGTAATGAAGCAATCATCAATTATGAGATTTGAACCAATTCCCAACACTAGTGGGGTAGCCTAATAGTTAACGCATTCGCTGGTGCCTCTGCCCTGATATCGGTGGAATATTGCTTAAAGTGGCATAAAATCATGCTCGCTCACTCACTCACTCATCACACTGTATCTTGGTAGCAGCTCTAAGTTTAGCCGATCTTGCCCTGGGATTGTCGATACAGTCCGTGTAAGTTGGCACACAAACCTTTTTTGATAAAGGCAACCATCGTTTTTTCAAAATGTCTACAACTTCATTCCTCTCATGAAGGACTGACGGGTTTCGTTCCCGATACTTCACTTTTAGAGGCATGTCCATGTCGATGCCATGAAAATGTCGCTTTACGATACGATCCTCAAGTGAGTGAAATGACAGGGAAACACACACTCCACCTGGTTTGAGGAATCTGTGGGCAAGTTCGAGGCCGTTATTTAACTCATTCAGTTCATCGTTGACAAATATGCGCAGAGCTTGAAACGTTTTTGTTGCGATATGAGAATGTCTCATCATCTTGTCTCGTCTGTGATGACTGGAGAGAGAAAATAGATATTTCAGTGAAATATAAGAGTTGGACAGATTTGAGGCTGTCTGGAACAGTACTCCCGTTATATCCCATCATGTCAGTTAATGGATGAAGATATGTTAGCACAAAACAGGGGTGTGGTTGACGCAACCCCTCTGGTTGGTTGATGTTTGTTAAGGAGACATTTACAACTGATGCTTTCTTTTGAGAAGCCATTGCTGGAAAAATAATTCTTACATTTCCAGGTCAAGCAGTAGATGAAGGCACAATTCACGAGAATTTATAAAGAATGTGCAGATTTACAAGCATTGACCACTCAGAGGGCCTGCACACCACACCCACATTTTGTGCAGACATACTGTCATCCATTTGTGACTAGATTGTTTAGGTAAGGGTCAAAAACGGGTTTCAATCAACTTGCAGAAATAACAATAAAGAATTGGTAGGTGTCATGAGTGGTGCTCGATAGGCCAATCATCCATGATAATGTTTACATTAAGTTTTAACTGATTACATGCGATGGTAGCGAAGCGATCGGCAAAGCAGGCGGGTGGGGCGACCGGAGTGTATGGCCTTGCCATGATGTATTGTACTGTGAAGCATTTCGAGTCGAGGGTCATTTTTATTGTTTAATCCTCGCAAAGACACGAGTGGAGGGAGGGGGAAGAGAATGGTGAGGTGAGGTGTGAGACCCCTGGCCTAGCGACCACCAGCACGTCACTGAAAATAAATTACTTGTTTGAATAATCGAGGACAAAACTCTTACAAGATGTGTCATGACCTAAAACATGCTGTTCGACCTTGATGGAAGTTTTACCCTTGAACGGGATCAGGTGGTCAGGCTCGCTTGACTTGGTTGACACATGTCATTGGTTCCCAATTGTGCAGATCGATGCTCATGCTGTTGATCACTGGAATGTCTGGTCCAGACTGACTATTTACAGACCGCCGCCATATTGCTGGAATATTCCTGAGTGCGGCGTAAAACTCAACCCACTCACTCACTTACCCTTGAAACACGCTGGATATTATGTCTGCTAGTTGTCGTGTGCGTGTGATGTTCCCAAAGGCGTAGCGTGTGTCAACTATAGCACTGGCAATCTTGCGGGCAAGTTTCTCTTCTCCATACTTCTTGATGATCACATACAGGTCACGCTCGTCGATGTGGTTGACAACATCGGCTGCCGTCGGCTGGTCAGGGAGCCTGGCATACAAACAACAGTCATGACCCAGAAAAATATGATATTTGCTTTAGGCTGAAACTTAGCAACAGTTAAACTGTATGATGGCGGCCTGCAAATTATCCATTCTGGATCAGACAATCAGTGTGCCAACAGATTGATCAGGGTTAGAACTGATCTTCAGTAACCCATGCTTGCCGTAAGAGGCGACTAGCGAGATCAGTGACCATGCTCGCTGACTTTGTTGAGTCAATGACACATCTGGTATGCCAAATATAGATTGATGCTCATGCTGTTGATCACTGGATTGTCTGGTCCAGACTAAATTATTTACAGACCGCCGCCATATAGCTGGAGTATTGCTGAGTGTGGCGTAAAACAAACAAACAAAACAGCCAGCATTGGTTGTTCTGGATCAATTCTAATACAAAAATCCCCCTGGGGCTAGAAACAAGACGTTATCATTCCAAGAAATACTAACCTGATACTATTTCTTTTGAAATGTATGCATGGCAAACATGTGAAAGAGATCAGACAATCTTATAAAATAGGATGCTGACACATTTCAGTTTCCTTTCACTACAACTTTAGTTGGGTATTTGTTCCGAACTTTCTTTCAACATCTGTATTTTCACCTGCCACCATCCATCCTCATGTCCAGAGGTCCATCTTGGCTGAGAGAGAAGCCCCGGACAGCCTGGTCAAACTGCATGGACGACGCCCCCACATCAAACAGGAAGCTGTCCACAGAGGCATCTCCAACATTGTGCTGTGTCAGCAGCTTGTGCAGGTCAGAGAAGCGACCTAGTAATGGAGTTATCTGCCCTTCCCTGGTCAAAACAAGAATAATGGTAGTGAGTGAGTGAGTAAATGAGGTGGGTTTTACGTTGCTTTCAGCAGTATTCTAGCAATATCATTGTGAGGGACATCAGGAATAGGCTTCAATAGGCACACTGTACCATTGTGGGAATCAAACCCAGGCCTTGGATGTGAGCAGCAAACACCTTAACCACTAGGCTACCCCACTGCTCCGAAAGTCATCAAGAGATTTAAGGCATCCACTTGTCTCCAATGGAATGGTTAATGTTGCCATTTGAATGACATATTACATTTTTTCCTTATTCTCACTTTAATTTGTATCATATTAGTAAATTAATATGTTGTGTACTCAACCTACTTGCATTCCTGGGATAGCTGAGTCGCCATTTCAAATGCCACTGGATCCCTGTCCAAGGTAAACACTCTGGCATTTGGTGCTTGAGAGATTATCTCCCTTGTATGACCTCCACCTCCAAAGGTCATGTCCACAATAACCTGAATATAAACTGGAATTATATTTTCCCTTTACAATTGATAAATTTATTGATATGCTTAAAGATTTTTTTGACCAATATGCCAAGAGCGACAATACAAACGAATGGTAGCCATAGTTATGGTAGAGCTTATAATAAATATACTGAAACAGCTAAACTAGAAATAATATAGAAATGTGATCTTTTAGAACCTGTTGCTTTGATAGTTTTGAATCAACTGGTTGAGCTTGTTCATTAAGTGAGTGAATGACTTTAGTTCAACACTGATTTTGATCAATATTCCAGTTACATCATCACCTTTTTCTGGGAGGAAAGCTTGAATGAGTGAGTAAGGTTTAGCACCACTTTTAGCAACATGCCAGCAACATCATGTCAGGGGACACAACAAATGGGCTTGGTATGTCCACGGGATGCAGCTCGACAGAGAACTGTGGTGTGTACATAAAGGAGTTTCAGCCACACAAACCAGTGACTGAAATTTCAAGCAATGTCCTATGCTGTTTGGTTCAAGGACACGCCATCAATCAAGCCACTTAATCCATTCAGTCATACAACATGTGAAGTGTCAGGGGACTTATATTAACCGGAACCCTCACGTATCGATGACAGTGACTTCCTATAGAATATCAAATAAATGCAAACCTGTCCATCAGTGGGTTTAAGTACATCTATAACTTCCTTCAACATGACTGGGATGTGTGGCATTCTTGAACGATTCTCCTTCAGTTGTTGCTCCTGCCAATCCAGTTGTCTCCCCTGTTGATCCAGTTGTCTCCCCTGTTGATTTGGTTGTCTTTCATCTGTATCTGATGCATTATGGAAAGGTCTCACTGGCTGACACTTACTGCTGTACACCTGTTGTAGAAGTCTCAGCTTACAGAAGGAGGACAGCTTGTGCCTGCTGAACTGCTTCACCTGGCTCATTGCCTCAATCTAAAACAGAATCATACTAACATGTGGATTCAAATCCTGCATGGGACTCAAAACAAAAGTGCAGGACCGATGCGACAGCATCCTAACTCACTCAACCTAACAAAAGTACTAGCATCTGTACTTTACTGAGAAAGTGTAATCCCAAATATAACATGCTACATGTGACCACTTTCTAAATTGTGTATTGTGTATTTATAGCTTGCAGCCGAAGGAGACATGCCAATTTACAGGGGTACACAAAGAATGTAGTCTAGACTACCAGTTGTCCAACTTCCATTTTTGTGGAAGCCGCAGTGGTTCATGCAGTAACTTAGATCACTGACAGCATGTGCTGGTGATTAGGTGCCGGACTCTGAGAGAGTTGCCCGTTTGAATGCCATAATTGGGACTCAACCTAACAACATTACTAGAATTGTTACTTTACTGAGAAAAAGCAATCCCAAATATAAACGTTACATGGTCAGTGTTAGTTTTGCTGAAGGGTTCGTTGTCGGCACGGGTACTACAGATATGTACCCCAGGTACGTTTCTGTATACAGAAACGTACCCTGGCCATAATGAGAATACAGAAACGTACCCTAGGACGATTCCATTCACATTGTGTCGTATTCTTGATCGGAACTGTCATGCTGTTGTATGAGATACATTTGATTGCCTTATGTAAGTAATGAGAATACACAGTAAGTGATATTTCGCGATGTATATGATACCACTCGCAATCAGTTGAACGGGAACAACTACATGCGGTTTCGGTTTTGGATTGAATATGGACTCATCCGCCTTTTAGGGTACCGGGTACGTTTCTGTATTTTGACTTTGTTTGAGGTACGTATCTGTAGTGACCGCCTCCGTGGTGTAGTGGTTCGAGCGTCCGCCCGGAGAGCGGAAGGTCGCGGGTTTGATCCCCGGCTGTGTCATACCAAAAGACTGTGTTCGGCATTAATGGGTACAACAAGGACTGGTCGGCTTGGAGTCAGTATAATGTGTCTGAGTGGGGTATTCTTGCTTCACTGCGGCATGGTATCTCAGTGGGCTAGCACTATAAAACCAGCTTCAGTCTGGGCTAGTACAAGCAGCCGCACATACACACGCATGCACGTCGTCATATGAGCGAAATATTCTCAAGCACAACGTTAAACCCAATTCCACCACCACCACCACGTATCTGTAGTACCTGTGCCGACAACGACCCCTTCAGTGTTAGTTTTAATTGGATCATACCAACAACAACCGATATTGCCGATAACCATGTGGTGGCTGTTTTATAGTCTGGACAGGAAATGCCATAGTCCAATGTTTCATTCTAGGGAATAAGAACGTCTGATGAGTATGCATTATATAGTTCGAAAGGTCGAGTGTACAAACAGATAAACAAACCACGCCCCGCCATTGTAATTTGTATTATCAAATTTAGTCTTCAGTGATAAAAAAAGTAAATTGTAATTCAATCATGGCTCTACTCGTACATTCATCATTTACATTTTTATGCCAAACAAATATTCCACGTTTGTGTCTGTCGTGTGAATGCGACATATCCGCAAAAGATACAAACCAACAATAAACAGTCGCGAGCAGTGACAGTTAACGAAAACTGTGACCCTTCGTCATCAAGACGATATTCTCTATAGAATAACATGATAATGCAGTAAAAACACAAAGGATCTATACATCTGGACATTTCGATACCTCGTCTAATGCCTATGTGATGACATTGTGCAATTACTCATGTCAAATAATTATTAAAATGATCTGAAACAGGTACCCACGTGGGTTTCAACGATGTAAACACACACCCCATCAGGTACGACTTTCCTACCAACTTAATCCATAATAATCATGAAACGGCCGTCTGTTGGTACATATGTACTATGATGTTTGTGTTCGAAACCCAAACTATTACAAAAAAACACTCGTTGAAAATGTTAAAAAATATATTTTAAAGTCCTTTACGGCGGGGACTCAAACAAATAATTATATCCACGAGGCTTGGCCATTTGATAGTAGGGCCTCATATCATTTGTGCCACTCAAGTGGAATGTGATGGGGAAAATGTGTAGATTACTGGAAAGAGGAAAGGAAATAGAAAAGTAGAAGGCATAACGGTAACCCAGATAAGAGTATATTTAATCACAGAATGCATATTGGAAGTTAATAAACATATACTATTAAAGGAACGAAAAACTGAAAATCGGATATACAGATGAATGGATAAAATATGAAACTTTAATAACAATGTTTAATGCAGATGCAACTATGTACAGTGAGCCACATGAACTACGTCTTGTATTTTAATCATCATTCTGTTTTAGAGGCTATTTGCCTGAGTTAAAACACCATTACTGAGCGGTTTACGGATATTGGCGCTATACAAGTATTTGTATGTATGTACTGTGGCCTCTGTCTTGAATTCTTCGATCTGTGACCGAAGTGACCATATAATGTATTTTAAATATTGATTTCCACTTAGTAAAATGGGATAGAGAAACAGGAAAGCCTACACAAATGTCTCTCCGTCAATATGCTATGGCATTTGTAGAACATTACTACACACAACAGTGTTTATGAACTTAATATCACGTGACATACGCCACAGGTGAACAGTTAGATGTTATGGGTTTAAAAGAACATGTTTATACAAATCATATATATTAAAAACTGTAATGTACAGAATCAGTGATTTGTTGGTCTCGTGTTTCGGAGGTTATATCTATTTGTATAAACATAACTTTTAGTAATAGTTTTAGATCTGATCTCGGTATAATTCGAGTGAAAAGATAATGTGAAGCTCTTCGTTCAAAAAGAAAATCATTAACATTCCGCAATAATTGATCTTTGATCCCGAATTTAAATTTGGGACAGTTCTAATCACTGAAACACTCACTGATGAATGATAAGTTACGCGTTTCTTGTTTTTCAAGTTATGTTATTTTAATAAACGAAGCATACAACCAGAGACCATATACCGGTATATGGTCTCTGATTCAACTTGATTTATGGATAATAACTTATTTCGTATTGCAACGTTAATCTTCCCATATGCAAAATCCTGTTACGGGCGGTGGGGTAGCCTAGTGGTTAAAACGTTGGCTCGTCACGCCGAAAACCCGGGTTCGATTCCCCACATGGGTACAATGTGTGAAGCCCATTTCTGGTTTCCCCCGTCGTGATATTGCTGGAATATTGCTAAAAGCGGCGTAAAACTAAACTCACTCACTCACTCACTCAAAAGGTGTTATCCATAAAGTGGTGTACTTCGTAACTGACTCATCGGCCATCAATATCTGGAATGCCAATTAAACACTGGTTTGTTTTCATTCTTTCTTCTATTAGCATAGCATATGTTTTCCTATCTGTCTTATGTTTGAACCAACAACATAAAACAATGACAATTAGATGCTGTATAATGCAGGTAAACCCCCTTCTGTTTGGGGAATGTGTTTGAATAGCAGTGTCAATATACAACAATCACAGCAATTAGAATTTACCTCAATTACAATATAGCACATCTTAACACCAATCAACTGCCAGTTCGGTGAAGCGAGGCGGACCTAATTCCTGAAATAACATTTACGCTGAAGACGGATAAACGATGAAAGGTTCAAGGCTAACAATTCATTTCGCATAACAGCTATAACATCCTTTTTTTTAAGCAACGCGCACCAACGAAAGAATATTGCCCTAATTTTGTACAAGGCATAAGCGTCTTTTGTGAATGAATATTAGTTCGACAGAAAGTAATATCAAGAAAATTGCATGTGGCTCCCCTTCTGGCCAAGTTTGAGGTCAACCGGAAGTGTGTTAGAAAACAAAAGTGCAGGTGCGATGCGACAGCTCTTATTTTGAGTATAAACAGCACGTAATCATGAGGACGGATCAGAAATTATTTTGTCTTAAAAGTGCCAGTGTGATCTTTATTATTCTCCTCTGGGTAAGTTACCATTTATCTTATTCGCATGCGTTCAACATTCAACTAACATATTCAGGGAGTTCTGTCATTGACAGTCGAAATTCGATCGGCAGTCGCGTAGTTTTGGACCCGCGAGATGTTGTGAACTGTGAATGGATTAAGCATCAGTGTTGACAGCGGATGGATTAAGAATCTGCAGTTTCCGCAGATTCGCAGTTATTTTCCCGACTTGATATTTGAGCGACATCACTCTTACAATTTATTACCTCATCTTTTCTTTATAGCGCCATTTACCCGAACTATCATCATTCAAGTTGCAACATTGAATTGCAAAAAACGCCAGAATATTAGGCGTAAGTGAAAGTATGATTGATCAATTTTTATGTTAACAAAAACCAGATGTCCCTTTCTCTTGGGATGCTTATCAATAGTGATAGTCAATTTACATCAAGTAAACATTATTTAAGTTATAGGATACCTTCACATCTGTGAGTCATTGGTAAACTAATTCACACAATTTGACCAAATCCACACAAAATCCTATATTTCCTCACTCTTTATTTACTGAAAAATAGGATTAGATTTCCATGCACTGTCACTGACCCAGTTTGCGACTTCAAAGGCAATATAAAATTGTTACCTACTGTTACATCTCCAAATTATGATGAGGGCAGGATGTGTAGATGAGCCTAAACGGCCCCTGAAAGTGTAAAGTTCACCTTCAGAGTATCTGCAGAGAACAGCTATTTGAACATGAATTGAACTTTACACATTTCTATTTTGCTTAATGCACTTTTATTAATAGTACAGTTGTGCAAGTGCAAGGTGTTTTGGATGTTTGTTGTATAACACCTTTACCCATTTACTTTATGTCTGAAATCCTATTGCATAAACCCATATATAGACCATATCAAATGACAAAATATGTATTGATGCAGTTAAGAATACATTCCTGTATTAAAACAAATCATGTGTATTTTCACTGGGTATGGATTTTCTTTCTGGGAGTAGGTCCAGGTTGTCCAACAGTTTGATACGAGTCTACCCCAAAAGTTTGTGTATGAGTCTCCACGGGTACATATTGTACAGTTTCCTTATGTGGTGTTAGTGTATCATTACCCAATTTTGTATCACCACATCCTGGCAATCCTGTCAGAGAAACTCGAGTAACTGCTGCATGTGCTGTGGTTAGCCAGAGGCAGATGAAAATCTCTTGTGGCTATTAAAATGTCGTTTGACACTAGACTGGTTGTTAAGAGCTTTTGTCATTACTTCCAAAGTATCAGCTTCAGTTCAGTAAAGCAGTGGGCTTGTGTATGTAGCAAAATATGTGAAGAGATAGTTGACATGCTCGTGTAAAAGGCTTGACCTTGTGACATGTAGAGAGATGCCAAGTTCTGGCTATCTGTAGTGTTGCCAGTTGGCTGGGATGTCATGGTCAGTCATGCTGGTGTCTTTGAGTTGACCATCAGTCATTAACTTAGTGTAAAGTGTAACTCATTTGTAAAATGTTCACACACAAACCGGGCGGTGGGGTAGCCTTGTGGTTAAAGCATTGGCTCGTCACGCCGAAGACCCGGGTTCGATTCCCCACATGGGTACAATGTGTGAAGCCCATTTCTGGTGTCACAGAGTTAATTGTGATGTCATCTTTTTGAGTTTCAGTAGATTTGTATTTACATACTGATAATTTTTAGTCATCTTTTAGACATATTTTAAGTCATAGCTGAGTGGTTAAAGCAATCACTCATCATGCCAAAGACCCATGTTCAATTCCCCATGTGGGTTCGAGGTCTGAAGCACATTCAGATGTGTCCCCAGCCATGATATTGTTGGAATATTGCTAAAAGTGGTATAAAACCTATCTCCATCACTCACACCAAGTCATTTGACAGAAAAATGTTTAATAGAATCAAGCTTCAAACTTGTAAAATTGTAATCCTTTGACTATTCACTTATTGCATCAGTATAGTGTACATAAGTTTATGATGATACTCATAGCTCATCTGCCAAAATATCTATCAAAAATAAATAAGGCAAGACAGTTAAAAGTGAGTTTGAGTAAGTTAAGTTTTATGCCGCACTCAGCAATATTCCAGCTATATGGCTGAAGAAAACACTTTTCAAACAGTGTCATTGTTATAACTTGTGTCTTTTGAATGAAGCGTTCCTTGTCAGTCTCATGTTTCTTGAACAGCCAAATTGCTGCCAAAGCATGAGTGAAAGAATTTTATCTCTGCTTTGAGAAAAAAAATGAAAGTTTGCCACCAGTTACAACACTTTTTGAAACCATTTAAAATTCTTCAGTTCCCTCACACCAGTATTTTGTTACTGGAAAAGAACTGTGTATTCTTTTTTGTAACTGCTTTCAGGGGAATAATAAATCTTGACTTAATATTTGTTAACACTTCATGCAAGAATACGTTGTTAGGGTCACAGTGACATTATGAAAATATGTTAGAGATTAATACATTCTTTCATAATGTTATATGAAAATTGAATTGGTATCTAAATATATCACTGCCAATTATCAATTTAAGAAAGGTTGTATAAGCCCTTGACATACAACATTGTTTCCTGAGTAATGGAGCATTGTGTCTGTTGTTAGCTTTCACTAGTCTAATTGAAACAGGACACTTAAGATTGTGTGGGTTGGTTTTCCTGGTTCGAGGGAGATACTGGCTTATTCATAGACCCACCTTAACACATGTTATCAACTGTTATATATGTGATACATACATGGTATATCACACCCTATGTGACCTGAATGTCCAGTCTTCACAATAACAGCCTTGTTTTGGTGGAGCTATGTTTAGAATGGTATATAGGTTATGTATGCCATTGTGTTGGTATTAAGTCATTGTGTGTGGTATTTAGTGCACATGACATTTGTATGTGATATATTTTCTTCATTAGTTTAATCATGAATAATTCATTTGGTAATTAAGTGCTGAATACTTAGATAATTTTACATGTTTGAGGCAAGCAAATGATATCTGTGGAATCCATTTTCATCTTCATTCCTATTTGTGTAGATCGATGTTCATGCTGTTGATCACTAGATTGTCTGGTCCAGATTTGATTTTTTACATACTTCTGTCGTATAGCTGGAATATTGCTGGGTGCAGTGTTAAACAACTAACCAACAAAATTCTATCTTCGTATTTTTAGGTTTGGAATACTAAAGTTTTAAAACATTTGTCATGTTTGAGCATTTCTCACATTGATAAAGCAGATTTCAATAGATATGCAAATTAAAATAATTAATTAATGGTGTTCAGAAGCACTTGCTTCAAATTAGATGACACAATAAGATGATTTCAAACAGTAAGATGCGTCTGTTCTGAATAATTCATTCACCATGAGATTAAAAATGAGATAAAGGACACAAAAGCTGAATTTAGAATTCAGAATATTCTTAAAATAGTTTTCCTGAACACTTGAAAGCCAAACTATTTAACTTCAGAGAAGAAACTCACAGTAATACTGATGTAATCTCATCGCCATCCCTTTTGGGGCGTGACTGCCTCAGGCATGAGGTACAGCTATTGTATCAGCGTCTGAGATCAGCTGTTGATAAAGACAGTCATACATTTCACCAGCTACCCGCCACCCTTTATTGACATACCGTGACTAAGTGTGATGGTACTTCACAGGAAGAATATTTCCTCTCTCCATCATGTGTCACTGATTTTGTTGTTGTGTTGTGTTAGACTGTTGGTGCCTATCATGTTTATACACCCTGGGGGTGCCTGTCTCATGCTGAGGATGTTCACCTTTGAGATGAAGTATCCAGAAGTTAATGAACTGTTTTCAACTCATGGTTAAGCAGCTGAGATAAGAATCTTATCATGATGGGAAGTACATATGTAATTAATTGTGCGATCTTTAGAGTTATATCATGGTAATGTTCTGTTCCTTTGCTTATTTTAGTTATCAGTGAATGGTAATGATTTTTAAATTATTTTAAATAGGAAAACCGTCTGTCCGAAATGAATTTGTTATGTTCTCTTTTTTCATGATCCATGGTCTGTCAGCAACACCATTTCCTATCAGTGGGCTTCACCAAGGCAGTAAACATTTATTGCACATTGGGCTTTCCTCCTCCGATACACTTACACACTGTGATTGTCCTAGACTAACAACTAGTCTCTGAAATGAACATATTTAATTAATCTAAAGTGACTTGGTCAGCTGTGATATAAATGCGATTCCTTTTTTTAATTTTTTATTTTTATTTATTTTTTTAAAATTATTATTATTATACAGATTTTTTTTGATTTTTTATTGTGATAGCAAGTGATACAATATTCATACAGTTGGATAATACACACAACACATATATTATATATAAATGCGATCCTGTTGAAGAAGGCTAAGACTAACACAGCCACCAGAATATAGTTACGTTTGTCATCAGATCAAATATTTCTACAGTGGTTGCAATTATTTGTCTATAAACAGTGGTATTTCTAAATTAAGATCCTGGGCCTAGATTTTCTAACCTCTCTTAGTGCTAAAATGGTTGTAAGTGCCATACATTAACATTAACTTACGACTATCTTAGCTCTAAGAGAGCTTCGAAAATGTAAGCCCTGGTGTTAAGGGCACACTTTGTAATCACATTTTGTTTTTATGTAAACATTTAAGTTTGTTTGTTGTTTAAACCCGTAACCAGCAATATTCCAGCTCTATGACGGCGGTCTGTAAATAATCAAGACTGGACCAGACAATCCAGTGATCAACATCATGAGTATCAATCTGCACAGTTGGGATACAATGACGTTATAGAACAAACTTTATGGATAACAACTTCTTTTTATTCGTGAGTGCGACGTTTCGATACAGATTCTTGTACCGTTGTCAAGCATAATGCTTCTAAAATGCCACTCAAAGAAGTTACAATGACATGTCAAACGAGTCAGTGGGCAAATATTTATGAAGCCAGTGATAAACACACAAGTAGTGTGGATAATGAAACATGAGGAACAGATCAAATATAGTAACACAAGAACAGGTCT